TACATCATCTCATTTGTCCTTTAAAACAACCCTATGAGGTAAGCATTAGTATTATCTTCAGCCTACAAGTTAAAAGGGAAAAATCTAGATTTTAAGAGTTTAAGAACTTGCACAAGTTACAGGGCTAATACATGACAGAATCAAAATTCAAATCTGGTCCCTCGGGCCAAACTCTCTCTCTCTCAAGCACTTTATTGACCAAGTGGATTCTGGCAGCTGGCAGACTAGTCATGCACTTGGAAGCCACTTCAATAGTAAGAGGAATCCAAGACATAAAGTGGAAGATAATAGCTATAAGGATGAAAAGAAGGTGGAGAGTATAAAGACTATAAAGAAAAAAAATAGAACTTGAGAAAAGAAACAATCCTAACAGTTAATGTTGAAGCCTCTCAACAGTCGGGCCCGCATCATTCCCTCCTGGCTCTTAGCAGGTTGCTGGTGCTTTTCTCCTGAATCATGGGAAACTCAAGTCCCAGCCCTGGTAACATAACAACACAGCAAAGACATCTGTCTCTTAATCATCAAGTCTTCACTGAGAATTTATTATGCTCTCAATTATGTCAAATGTAAGGCGGGTAGGTCCATCAGCAAGCAGTGAGTGGTACAACTCTTTTTCTAGCTGCAAAGCTCCTTAAAGGCAAGAGTCGGTTTCCTAAGTTCAGCACCCAAGGCTTTCACAAGCTGTTTCCAGGCTACTTCTCCACCTTCGTCTCTTGCCATTCTTCCCCTTTGTATCTGGACATTAGGTTTGTACCCGATGTAGAACGCTTTTGTCCCACTTCTACTTGGCAAAGTTCCTCTCTCACTTTAAAATGCCAACACAGATATTGCTTTTGAGGCAGTGACAGTCATGAGAACTTGGGCTCCATGCACGCATCCTCAGCCTCCCTCTCAAACACAGTTATCAGGACAAGGTCACTGGGACCCCTGCCCTGTCCCCACTCATCCTGCAAGCTTCATCCCCTCCTATTAAGAATGCTAGAATGATGACTGCTTCCAGGTGCCTTTGCCCTGCCTTCACGGGTGACTATATCTCCCTCTCTGTTCCCATGGTTTTCGACATATGCCTCCATTATAGCATCATCACATCATATTTTAATTGCTTTTGGCATGTCAATTTTTCTGCCTGGAGAGCAAGAATGAGTACTATGATGGATTTTGCAGAGTGTGCAGAACATAATAATCCCCTAATACAAAGTAATTGACTGGTTCAAAATTATATCTGTTCTATTCTTGCATCTGGCACTTAACAGGATTTTGCACACAATTATATTTGTTCAATATGATACACAGAAACACATAAAGAAAATTTAACCATCACGACCTCCTGACTTGTTACAAGTTTGCTTCCTCTTTACTTATAATCTTTCAGTTTATATATTTCCATTATTCCCTATTTTTCAGCAAATGACACTTCAAGCCAAAAATCAATAAATCATCCTTCACTTCTGTTTTCCTTATCCCCTAATGCCAATCCACCATCAAAATATATCAAATATATCTTAAATCTATCTATTGCTCTCCATCATATCGACCCCAGTCTAGTCCTGAACACTAAGATACAAGCACACTGAAATAGGCTCCTAATGTTTTTCCCTCTTTCTATACTTACCTTTAGAATCTACTTTCCATACAGCAGCTAGAGCCATCCTTTTTTAAAAGTTTAATGAGATACCAACCTTCTTAAAATGCATCATGACTTTCTGCTGCCTTGAAAATAAAATCCAATCTGGACTCCATGACATGACTCATGCTTTCAAACCAACCTGATCTCTGATACCTCTCCCATTCATTTGCTATATTCCAGCCACATGGAACTTTTAGTTCCTCAAAGGGTCAAGCTTGTTCCTGCCTTGGGCCTTTGTACTTACTCTTCTCTCTGACTAGGATGCTCTGCCATCATTAGCTCCTTCCCATCCTTCAGGTCCCAGAAGAAATGACACCTTTACACGGCACTTATTATAATCTGGAATTATCTTCTTTATTTGTTTCCTTGTTACTTTCTGTCCTTTCCCACCCCAGTCCTCCACATACAATAAAATGGCAGGACTTCGTCTATCCTTACATGTTGACTCTCCAGAATCTAGAAAATATTAGGTGCAAATGGATAAATACATATTTAATGTCTATTATATGACGACATTTATAGCAACCACTTTGCAGGCAATGACCACATCTTATTAGGAGAGAATTTGATACGGCACCCCGGAAGGTAGCATGTGACTGTAGCTACAATAAATGTTATTACAGATTTTGAAAACTATCAGGACCATCATTTAAAGTGACTTCAGAGTCTCAGGTTTGTGGTAGGAAATCAAATCAAAGAAGCAACAAGAAAAACTTCTGACAAATCGGCACATAAGAATAGGAACCTATGTATATATGGCTTTAAGTAATATTAATAAGATGTGAGGATTTTTTCCCCTGAAAATGCTTTGAAAAATCTGAAAACTTTTAATGCCATTTGCAAAGAGCAGCCTCTGCTGCATTTATTTCCCTGTGTTCTCTAAGCACCCGTGGATTTTAGTAGTTCTCTTTTTAAGAGGCTCATGATGCCTAGATAATCATAAGATCAAGAGAATTAAGCTTAGTAATTCCACACAAAGAAAGTCCAACTGAGGTAATATATCTGAATTTAGGACCTAAATTAAAAGTTTGAGACTCAGCTTTCCCAGAAGTAATTTCTTCTCTCATCAGGGAATGTATAAGCTATAAATAAGATTATGTAGCACAAAAGCTAATTGTTTGAGAACACCTAATTGAAAGTAAAAGCTAATGAGAGGGTCGCATTAGCGACTTAATGTCAGTGGCCACATTAGAATCCTACATTTATACAAACCTGGTTTATTTCCTCTTTCAGAGATGGCATTAGTGGGTAAGTAAATTATTCTGGAATAGCTGTAGCAGCCGATGCATGCTGGACCTAGATCGAAGGACATTAAAGAACATAACAAAGAAAGCGCCACTCCTGCCTCACAGATTTCTAGAACTAAGGTGTAATTCTGCCTGAACTAAAAGAAATAAAGGATTGCTGAAAGCATTCAGTGAATATTAAGAGCAACTAGTGGAATCCATTGTTTAAATTCACGTTTAGGGAAAACCATGAACAAATAAGAAAAGTAGAAAATTAAAATGTTGATTTCTCCCACAGCCTCTGCATTGTACTAATGTGTTCTACACAGGGCGGGAATCAGGTTTAAAAATGAGAAAGTGTTTCCTTTCATCAACAAACCTGGCCTTGGATAGAGGCTTACAAAACAGATTCACACATCCCTGTCTGACAAGATGTTCACTGATAATTTTAGCAGTGCTGAGGAACTTATTGATACACTTTTCCCTCTTAGAAAAGCATCTTAAACTCATGGAGGGGGGGGTGGAGGGAGGAGAGAAGAAATCAAGTAAAAGAAAAGCAAATCGGAAATTTGAAACTTTGCAAGAAAATGGGTGTCTGAAGTAAGATAACTTCTAAAAAGGTCAGACAATATGGTGATGCTTATGAACAATTGCCTTATTATCAGCAATTTCAACATAAAAATGTTAAACTATTGCAATATGTTCACAACAGATTGATCTTCTTTAATTCACAAGTTACAGAATAAAATGACAAATGCTACAACTTTAGGTATATAGATGCATGGGGTCTCTCAGCAGAGGTATCCTACTTCCTTACGCGACTACTGATCATAAAGTGGAGCCAATAGTGATGGGTGTTGGTGAACTTCTTTAGTCATAAAAGGCAGTTTTCATTATTTGTGAAATATTTACTAGTCATACCCTAGTGAGAGAATAGATTTAGGTATCCAATTCTGCTAGGTTTTGGTGATTTGGCAATCTGAAAACATATCTTCTTTGTATAAGAATTTCTAAAATATGTTAATATGTTGATTTGTTCACTAAGCCACTCATCTATTCAACAAATATTCATCAAGGCAGCTATGAAGAAAGGCACAGATACCTGCAGGGGGTGATGGGTATTATATTCCTATGTATTATTCCTTTCTTTTCAATCTTATAAATTTTATGTTTCCCTCAAAAAGATGTTAAGTATAATTTCTCTTTTTTGGCAAGAAAAAAAGGGGGGGGGGGGGCAGGCGAGATCCAGCCCAAACAATCTAAAAGGAAAGAAAAATTAAAAAAAAAAAAGCTAAATCTTACTCCATCAGGTAAGTCAAGGGAGGAGTAGAAGTGGGGAGGGGACTGACAGGACCCATGGTATCTTTAGTAAGCAAAATGGCTACAACACTAGACACCATATTTAGGTCAGAAAATTTATTTTCAGCACTTATCTGTGGGGATGAGGCTTCTAATTTCTCATCAGATATCTTAGAACTCTGGGGAAAGTGTCCTTAAGAGCAAGTGCTCTGAAAATGACAACAGCTAAGTGAGGCCATGAAAATTAGAGACAGACACAAGTTACTCTTGGACCTCTATTACATGAGATCTTGAAAGCCACTCCCACCTCTACCTAAAAGCTTCTAGTGGCAAAAATAAATATAGATAGGTAGATGATAGATAGATAGATAGATAGATAGATAGATAGATAGATAAGAGATAAAAGCTACTAGTGGCACCCATCACCACCTTGGCTTTATTCATATAAGAGCCTAAACGTCATAATGTTCAGAACGTTTTGAGGATATAAAAGGGATCCTTCTTTTTCACATCTGAAAAATTATAAGCAAAGTATATTAAAAAAAATAAACTGCCTCATCACATCACGAGGATCCTTTTTAACCTTTAAATATTTATACTGGATTATTATCATTTAGGTATTATGCTCCCCAGAATATTTTGAAAAATATCTTAAAAATTGCATGTATTATAAATTATATCATTTATTCACTTGACTATGTAAATTGAGTTGATGTTTAAGTTTGTAGTTTTATACTGAATTATAGCACAGATAACGTTCAGTGTTTATACTTAGAGTGATATCATTTCTGAGGAGTAACTTTTAAAATTAAATGTCTCAGTTTGTATTAAAATGTACTCATGGCCTTTTGGCTCTCTGAGCAGCATCATGGCGGTGGGCAAGAACAAGTGCCTTACGAAAGGCGGCAAAAAGGGAGCCAAGAAGAAAGTGGTTGATCCATTTTCTAAGAAAGATTGGTATGATGTGAAAGCACCAGCTATGTTCAATATAAGAAATATTGGAAAAACACTGGTTACAAGAACTCAAGGAACCAAAATTGCATCTGATGGTCTCAAGAGTCGTGTTTTTGAAGTGAGCCTAGCTGATCTGCAGAATGATGAAGTTTTCCCTAAAAG